ATAATTCAGAAGAGTCGGAGGAGTCGTCCGAGTCTGACTCAGGGACGCCGTCCACGTTCAAGTGTTTGGACTGTCTGAGATACCTGTGCGACGACTGTGCCGAGCTTCATTCTCAGGTGCGATAATTTACGAGTTATTCATTGCCCGTATTCATTTGCAAAGCCCCGCCTTTCCATCAATCCCATGTGTAAGATGAAAACAGTAATTAAAGAAGAAGAATTATAGTTTCTCTCCAAAACCGCACCTCAATTCATATTCAAATAATCAACGTGAACCTTTTTATCCATTTTTTTTTGGAAAAGTGCGCGTGGGACTCGAATATCATATTTGAACCTGACTCTTAACTTGCATTTGTTTATTCAATTTCTGTGAAAAAAGTGAGTCATGCATTTGAAATCAGGGCGCGTCTTGAATACGACGGAATCTTTCATTCAACATCATTTTATATTTTTAGGTTCAGTTCATAATTCTTCCAGGCTAACACGATCTTCTGGATAAAATTGTCTGAAACCGATTTGGAAAATGTGCATACTGTACGTTCATTTTCAGTTCAAGGGCACACGATTTGAAATCATGATAACCGTTGGAATGAGAAATTGAATTCATAATTCAAGCTTGATCAGAAACAACAGCTTATCAATTTCAAAGAAATCAAATGTTATAGGTATTGAAGTACTTATTCCCATGCAAATTATTTTTGTAAAGGGCCGTACGGAACTTGTGTTTCAATGAAGCATCCAAGTTAAAATACGTTTTCCGAAAGATACATTCGTTTTTCGAAATACAGTACTTTGCCTTTTCGGTCGACATCGGGAAATCAAACGGAGAAAACATCCATGGGTAATCAATCTCCAAATGGATTTTTTCGGGTTTTATGCGCAGTTAATAATTTGAAATATCGTTTCATGATCCGATGATCAAGCGTAATTCTGATTTAAAATTAAATAAGTCCCAACAAAGTTTCGCGAGTTCACGAAACACATTGAAACTCTGAACCAATCTACCTTATGCTTTGTTATTCATGAACCCAAGGAACTTGACGTCGACTTCGTTCAGTGACAAAACGTGATGCTTTTTCGATTAACAACACCAAAAAAGGAGGGAAACGCTTGCAAAGAAAGTGGTTTTCTGTCTTCCTATTGACTCTGTGGTACAGTACTACGTTGCAGAGAAGCCCTGTACATTGAGAAATGGAGTGTTTTTTGTCATAACCCTTTGGTTTTATACCTTTTTGATGATTTTTCCTGCTTACAGAACGAGATTAGAGCATCTGGAGATCCACATCGAGTGGCTCCTTTGTCGGAAGTGCACGCGTGCGAAGATTCTACCGAGCCGTACTTGTACTGCCCCAGTCATGCCGGTAAGTACTTGAGGCTTCCTGTTTTTCAAGAATTCCAATAATCATTGGGATGAATCAAGGAAACCTTTCTCACAGAATATTTTTTTATTTTCATTTTCAATTGTGTGCGGCGGAAAGTCCTTCGCTCGGAAGAAAAATTAATGGAGAAAGCATATGGAAGCGGAATATATCTTTTGAAGGCCAAACACGCACTAGAAGAAATGAATGTTTTTGATAAGGTCTCAAATTCCTTTCTACATTTCCAATCTGAATTTCGATTATATATAGTCATCCTAAACCTAGATGAATGATGGATATGCTGGCTTTATTCTAGAGATGGTTTAAATGGCTGTTAGAATTTCAAAAATCTTACATGAAGCCTACTTTGTAATTGTTTTTCCTATGATCCTAATAAGGGATAAGGATGTCAATTTGAAACACGATAATTCAGGCAATTTAAAATTCAATCCGGATTGCACCTAGATAATTAGCCAGGTTGCAAAGAATCGTAAAGCAGTTGGATACGGAAATGCTACAATAAAATTCAAGTTCACGATTGATCCGTCATGGAAAGTTTTTTTAATTAGAGCTTAAAATCCCTTGTATAGTCTTCAAAACGAACTGAAGAACGCTTCAATCTGTGTTCAAATTCGTGATTTGGCACGATAGATGGTTTCTTAATTGAATGTATTCATGTAAAAGACAGAATACTTTAATTTTTTAAGGCTTCTTTGAAAATGTTCGCGAGCGTCTACGGATGGTGAAATAAATTGGCGAGTTCAAGTCTTGGGCAAATAATAATGTTCTCAGGCTCGATTTATCGTACTCCAAAAATTAGTGGAACGGAAATTTTGAATTTCACGTGGAAGGGCTTTTTTCAAAATTTTGAGCAGGCTCCGAGTCAGTAAAGCATTAAATAATCCGATTCTATCATTTTAGTCGCCCAGATGCTTTTTCATCTGACAAATCTCTAAGATTCGTGACCAGATGTTGAATTTTGAATCCGCTGAAAACCTATTTTGGGTTGTATTCTGGAGCAAAATGATTCCTTCCTCATGAATATATTTCACCTTGACCTCAGATTAAAACATGGCGCATATGGACTTTATTAAACAGCTGTTTATTAAACAGAAAATCGCGTTGAACGAAGCTAAACGCAACTCGCTGAGCTCAGCCATCATCCGACGTTTCCGACAACTTCTCTTCGTATCAGAGATATGAATCGTAATAATCTGACATAAAAGACCCCTTAGATGAATGCAATTTGCAATATAAACAGCTTTGAAGGTTAATACAGTTCCCAGAAGCGATCAGTTCGGAGCTTTTATATTCGTGTTTGTTTTTATCGATCGAACACCCGTGGATTTGCGGAGGACTTCTGATGAGGCCAGAAGTTTTGCGTGAGGGACGTGAAGAAAATAACTTTTCAACAACAAGGAGGGAAGGGTACATGGCAGAAAACCTTTTCGATCAATCAATCACGTGTATTTAATTTTGATTATGCTCCTTGATTTAAGAAAAAACTAACGTTCGTCGAGTATGGTTTTATAATAATTTCTTTAAAAGTTATCCGTAATTGTTACGCACTTTCGTACGCCATTTTATCATGACGTTGATCCAACGCTTTTTTTTTTTACAAGTATGCAATACCGAATAAATTACTTCTCTGAAAATCTGATTTACAATTCATTTTTTTTAGAATGCAGTGCCTATTGAACTTCAAGTTACCTGATGTGTTGATTAATTCTTGTCCATTGACTTTTTTTTTATAGTTCGAATGGCTGTTCATGCATCGAACTTCAATATACGGGCAAAGACAAAAAAGTCACCATTTTAAACGGAGGCCTAACCCGAATTTTTATTCATTTTTTTAATTTTCAGTAAGGGTACTTCCCGGGATGAACTTCGCCTATCAACAACGTCTTGCTCGAAAATGAAGAAAATTGAATCCCCCTTCATTATTCTTAATATTTACGGCTTTTGTGGAGAACTGTCTGGAAGTGCTGTCTTCGTATTTTGTTATTTGAAAAATCGGACCAACGAAAGGCGAAAAGAAAATTTATTCTACGGTGTTTCTCAGAACTTGACAAAGTGAAGCTAAAACATTTCTGAAAAATGTTCTAAAAATAAGGCTAAAGAAATCGTTTGAAAAAAAGGCAGTGATTAAAAAAAACTTGGTGAGGCTCTAAGTTTTTACTTTATGAAAATTTTCCATGTTTTATGCCATTTTTCTGAACAGAAAAATTGCATAAAAATGTTTGCAATGTTTATGTTCAGAGATGAAATAGTGTACTGTATTATATTGTTCCTTAAGGGAAAATAGAATCGCAAAATCAAAGTTTTGCCCAAAAAAAATTTTTATTGGAACAAGCTAATTTTTCAGATGACCTACGCACATTACCAGGAATTTGTCTTCAAGTTGCTTCCTTATTCAGGTCAATTTCTTCACTCGTGGAATTTTCATGTTCAGGGATGAATTAATGGTTCATATTGTTCCTTGAGGAAAAGCGATAATCGCAGAATGGATGTTCCACAAAAAAAAGTTGGTATCGGAACAAATTAATTTTCAGACTGCGTACAGTAGCAAGAATATGTTTTGAAAATTTTTCATTTATTTGAGGCTATTTCTTCGACCCATTCAGCATTTACATCCATGTCGGAAATGTACAACCAATCATTTGTTGCACTTCCCCCACGCGTTAGAAAACATTTCAGTACATCTGAAAATTAATTGTCTACTCGTTCGTTTTTTTTTTTACAACAAAACAAACGTGGTGCACAGCCTAGTACACGTCTAATTGATTTGTTTCTTCGGTGCGTGTTCCTCTGTTTCAGGTCAGCGCTTGAGATTTTACTGTCGCGACTGCGAGTCTGCGATATGTATCAGTTGCACTGACATCGAACACCGTCACCACAACACGGCCAGGTTGCATCACGCTGTGATGGAGCATCGGGTTGCTCTGCGACAGCTGCTAGACCGAGTACTTTGCAAGGTATTTGCATCTCGTTACTCAGTCTAAGCCGATTAGTTTCAACTCTTTCTGCGTGTCATTCGGAGAAGGTAAAAATTACACTCTGTCGGATACCAGTTGTTTACTGCGAGCGAGAGTCGCACGCGTCCGGAATCATTTGTAACGAAACTATATACAACATAGAGTCTTTTAGCTAAAGACCTGCTCGGGGATTTCAAAGAAACCGTAAACCGAGTTGCTTTAAATAGAGGGGATGAGAAAGTTTCGTTGGTGACTGGATATATGGTTTCTTTTGGGTCCCATAGATTCTGAGTCAAGGGGTTAACGAAAGGACTTGAATCAACGTCCACTATTCACTTGTTCAAAATTTACTGCGACGAGATCATTTGAAAAACTTCTTACCTTTATTGCGATTTAAACTTGGGAGCAATTTTGACACGAAGATTCGTCAGTAACGACGATCACTCGAACATCTTGCGGCACTTCATATACCCCATGTATTAATGAAACAAATTTTTTCTTCCCAGAGATGGTCTAGTTAGATCGAGCTGCTAAACTTTCAACTCTATATTTTCTCCATCACATTTTGGATGATGTAGATTATAACAAGAATCTTGAAATTATTGGGCTTCACTACGAAAAAATGTAGCTAATCTAGAAAAACACGACATGCCCGAGGCTGAAAGAACTTATACCCGTATTTACTCGAATACCAGGCGCACCTTTTTTTTCTCAAATTTGAGAAAAAAAATGGGTTGCTCGTCATATGTGGGTATATTGTGATTTTAAATTTTTCAAAAAGTTTTAGAAATTTCCGTGTAGATTACACTTGCTTCTAAGGTGTAATTTTGACCAAGTTTTAATAGAAAAGAGCATTTTAATGGAAACAAATCAAAATTAGTTCAATGCAGGTTCAATTTGTGTGTAAATACAAATTTAGGAATTTTTGTTTTTGAAATATTATGGTTTCGGAGTCATGAAAATGGCGGGTGCCCCTCTTGCGTGGGGATAGGATTTTCACCGAAATTCCTGACTGGAAAACACTGGTGCGCATCTTTCTTTAGGGTGCGTGGTACGATTCGAGTAAATACGGTACTTATGATCCAACCCCATGTAATGTGCATCATTATTCTAACATAAGACATGTAATCATTATCATCGCACTTTCTTTTGTCGTAGGTGCCATTGTTGGAGTCGGCTTTTGAAGGTGTTTCTGAAACCTTGTCGCAGCTTCACCTTTCACGAGATGAAGCAGAGCATAGTATCACGATGTCTTTCGCAGGCTTGCAAGCAGCCCTTGAAACGAGGCAGAACCAGTTGCTTGATGCCCTGGATTCTGCGTGCAAAACAAAATCCGAGAGTCTCCGTGAGTCATCCTTGAAATTTTTTTTAATATTTCAAAAATTTTTACAAATATTTCCTTGAGATTTTCAAAAATTATCGACGCAAGATCGCCCCAAGTTTGGATCTAATCTATTGTCCCTCTGGTGGGCATTTCACGAACAGTTTGAAGTTCGTGGAAAGAGGTTTAAACTCGCTAATCCCACTGGAAATGTAATTTCTGGAAAAAATCTGTCAATCCCGCTGAAATAGTAAATTCATCGGAATATAACTGCAACAGCAGTCAAACAGGAGTTTCCTCGTGTTCAAGATCATTCAATCAAAATGAAATTGATATTTCCGAGAATATCCCTGTACAATATAACGCAAGGCCTTTCTGTGGATTCAAATACACTTGGCACACGAACATGCATTCCAGAGAACTTCCTGGGTGTACCACTGTAGCACATTGATTAGAAGACATCAATTCAAAATACTGCATAGATTTTTCACTAATGCACTCACGGCGCTCTTCTTTCAAATAACAATTTCTATTGATATTTGGCAAACTCACCATTCATCATATATGGCATGGATTCCACCGACTGAAAAGTCGGGATATTAAAATGTATTGGAAACACCATTTTTAACACAGCAGTCGAATCTAGTTAGAATTGATGATTTCGAAATGATTGCAGTGGATTCTCACTTGAATACGTTAAATGCAGGAATGTTTCTTGGGTTCCGATGTAATGAATTTATTGATTTCAAGAATTTTTCGAAAGATTAAAGTATCAACTTAATAATCTTTTTTTTTTGAGGAGACGTTCGAAACATGTTCTGAAAAATTTTACCTGCCTGAAAATTCAAAACGCAAATTCGAGAAAGCCTCTGGAAAATCTTTTAACTGAAAGGGCTGGGGCTGCGTTTGATAAAAACAATTTGTGATATTGATTTGAAAAAAAAGAAGTGCTAGTATGCGTATAAATATAGTTTTGAGTCGAAGATGCTTTCTATCAGCAGTTACGTTGTTAAACCTCGATAACTTGAACCTCTCTAAGTCGAATACCTCCTTTAGTCAAATTTTTTCAAGTCCACTCACTGAATTCCCTTGGAAAAAATGCATTAAAAACCTCTTCAACTTGAAGGCTCAAACCTCCGTAACTCGAATTTTCTAAGGTCTTTTGGCTTTTTTTTCTGGACAGAGGAAAGAGAAAACTTACACACAAAAACCGTCAAGTCATTTAAGAAGAAATTTAAGACCCAGAATATCACCGTTTACAATTTCCTGTAGATCTCTTTTCTTTCCCACGAAAAAATACTGTTTCTTTTCTTCGAAACTTCCATAACTCGAATTCTTTTGTTGGTCCCTTCGAATTCGAATTAGACAGGCTTGAGTTTACCAGGTGTCTATAATTATAAAATGTATTACGAATGGAAGGTTTTGAAAGATTCGCATGTTTTCACGCGGCCTTATTCATATCAGGGGACCAATCCGAGGAACTTTCCGAGTATCTTTCCGAGATCCGGTCGAGCTGCGAGTTCGTCAGTCGAGCTTTGAGTGTGGGCTCGGACACGGAAGTGCTGATGGTGCGGAAGCAGCTCGGGGACCGACTAGAGGCACTTTCCACGTCCGCCATGACAAACAGCGCCGCCACTTCGTCAGTGTCCTTGCCGGCGTCTGTGGGGTTATCGCTGTCGGTGTCGCCGTCTCCGTCGCCGTCGCCATCTCCAGCTGGCAGTCTAGACGTCAAGGGGCGTCCGGCGTCCGTCGTCGACTTGTTCCCGCGCGGCAACTCGCACATTGCGTAAGTATATATCGATTTAAAAAACAAATAAAAAGAAGAACGAATGATTGTTTGAGCTTTTGTCAAAGTTTATGCTTTCCGAGTGAGTAATGCACTCAGATGGATCGTCGAGAGATAAGGAGTATAGACGCGTGTTTGTCAATAACACTCCAAATCATAAAACAAATCATGTCGCTTAAAAATGCATCAAAGTCACGCGGATATGATATTTTTATTTCCGGTTTTGGGTTAAAATAATCAGAGTACGTCTATGGAAATCAATGGTGATCTGAACTAGAAAAACTGCCGATTGATTTTTGATTCCTATCGGAAGCATAACCTTTACACGATCGTGTACTTCGTGTGTAATTTTCTCCATCCTAGAATAAATCAATCGAGTGACTTGAACCAAAAGCGAAAGAAAGGGGCGATTCAAATTAATAGGAGATCTGAAAACATTTTCCCTGAACGAGTAGATTTAAGAGAATAGTATGGGGTTTTCGGGTTTTCTACCTTGAAATAAAATTTAAGTGATGCCATCTTTCCAATTTATTTCTACAAGTAATTGTATTCAGGGACTGCAGCTGATCTCGTTATAAAAAAGCGTTGCGATTTTTAATCCACAGCATATAAGTTCCACATGGCTGAGAAAGTGGTCTTTACAGTATCAAGTTCACGTGGGATAAGCTTCTTTTTCTGTCTGAAAAACTGGACGATATCGTCATATTTTCTCGAATGAATACATTGTTTTACTGTTTCCTACAGAACGTATGTTATAAGAATTTTGAAATTTGTTAATTTTGCAAGTCGTTTTCTTCGCACGATTTCTCCTCTCATTGGGCGATATTATGATGATTTTTGTTGTTGTTCAAGCACGTTTGTTTGTGTGTCTTCCGTGAAAGGGAATTCATCTAATTTTTATTTCATCTGTTGATGTCATTGCAGGTTCCATCCGTCAGAAGTGGAGTCAGTCAGAACGAGGATACTGAATATTGGAGCCATTTCCGAATGCAGCGCAGTTCCTTGGAGATCGTCGTGTCACCCGTACGGAAAGAATCGTCGCAGCGACCCGGAATGGCGATGCCTCGCTGGCAGGTCTGTAAACAACCCGGAATAATTCACATCAATTGCAGTTTGCCACATTTTCTTTCCGTTTATATAATAAGAAATGAATTCATCCGCATTTTTGACGCGAACAAAAAAAAAACATTTGGTGGCTGCACTGTATTTTTTCTCGGCCCAGCATTTTTTTTTTTTATCGTCTACGAATGATTCACTTCAGTTGACTTGGCCTTGAAAAATGTTCAAAGAGTTTCAACCGAAAAAATTTTACATTTTTAAAAATGTGCTTAAAATTCAGAGCTAGATTCATATTAAAAAAAAAATAAGGCATGTTTCAGATTGTCCAAAAAAATGTTTTCTGTTCATATAGAGCGCTGAAAATTAAAGCGCTTCGTAGACTCGGGGATGTTTTACATGTTCCCATATGCAGTATCTTCAATACGAACATAATACGAAATAGAGTATATTCACGAATATTGGTCTCAAAAATCAGGGGGTGTTTCATATTTCGTGACATTTTGAATTTGATGTCTCAGATACGTGGTTAGACTTTCAAGTGAAATTTCCTTTTTAAAACACCTAAAACCAGATATTAAGTTCATGGACAAATGGGTTAGGATCTTTATATCCCCTTTACAAGTGAATAAAGAAATTGAACGAGTAAACTGAGCTCGACCAGAGTCATCAAATGTATCTGATTGTCAATTGAGAGAATGGATGTTATCTGACGTCGAGCCTGTAAAAGGGGCAATTTTTCGTTTCATTTTTGATGCACCAAGATTGATGTGCAAAAAATATTATATTATGCCGAGTTTTACATTCAAAAACGGTACTTTTTATTTAATTCTTATTTGCGTCGGTCGTTCGAAAGTATACTCAGAAAGCTCTTGTACCGGTACTTTCTCAAGGATTTAATGCCTCGACGTACTCTTCGCGGAACGTTTTTTTTTTTTTTGGAAAATCAAAATTTCCTGCTTCATGAAGATGTCGTGGCATCTGTTTATGGCAGACTTTTTTCCCCAGTTTTGCGCAGATCGAAATAGCCGTTCTTGTTCAAGACTCTGGAGTCTTTCACGCACATTATTATTTTCCAAGTTGTTGGCATCGTAGTGTATTCCTGGGGTGGATCTGGTGTGTTGCAGTGATCATTCTGGATATGGTTTTATTCGCATTTTTATTATTGCGTATTATTGCCTAATCTGATAGTCTGAATTGATCGACAACCTTCCCGTTCGAGTATTATATGTATATGTAGCATCGTCATGCTGGCGATGACTGACGGAGGAAAAAAATCTCGGGGTTAAATATTAAAGCCTCTCGTGTTCCTTCCAACTCGAAGACGATCGGGTCTTTCTCCATTCGCCCCCCCCCCCCCCCCCCCCCCCCCCCCCCCCTCCCCTTTTTTTATGATGGAGCAAGCGAATTGGAAGATCTTATCGAAGCCCAAAATCCGATACTGAAGGATCAGGGAAAGAAAGTAGATTATCGCACGCCTAGTCGATGAGATGGATGCTTCATCAGCAGTGTTGAAGTACTGAATGGAGTTTGTATTTTTCATTTCATTTTTTTTTTGCGCAGGCCGTGTAGGGTTCTGGTGAAGCTGAGCGACTTCAGGGGAGAACCCGCGACGTCGGGTGGCGCCTTAGACGTGCTGAAAGCGGATTTGCAGCCAGCTCATCCCATGGTGGGTCGCCCTCCCACGCAGATTGACCCCGTGCGACCCGGTGAACTGGAAGTCAGCTTTTCTTTGCCGACCGAAGGCGACTACTTCCTCGGGCTGACCTTGTTTGATCATCACATCAACGGAAGTCCAATCAAGGTAAAGTGCGGTATTGCATGATACAGTACACTGAAATAACGCTTCGCTCGTCGTTGAAATACCGACGAAAGGCGACACTGTCAGAAGAAACTCTCCCATCCCTGATTGTCTTGACGCCGTTCTTTCATTTTTTTCTGGAATATTGAAAGGTTTTAAATATTTTGAAAGCTCTAAGCAAATCGTCGTTTGCAAGATGTCCTTTCTTTTCCAGTATAAGAGTTTATGAGCGTTTTATGAGGATATTATCCTCTTGAAAGCTACGATCAGTTCCCCTCAGCAATGTTCCCAGTGAAAATGGATGCTTTCTGTTAAATTATATAAGTTTGAAGTAGAGATTAGCAGGGTTTTCTGTCTTTCATGGCATTTTCTGACCACTGTACGTTCGAATTACAGAATGACTGCACAGGGTTCAGGAATCAAATCGTGGAAAGTAGAAGAAAACTAAATTATTTCCCGAGCAATTAGTATAGATTCATCGAAAATGCTTGACGTCACGCGAGAACATGCACATTATTCATTAAATGGGGAACTTTTAATATTTTTTCAATATCACATCCGGTTGAAGGAAAATAAGATTCAATCAACTTCAAAGTACAGTAAATAGGTCTCGAAAATCCTTTAGCCTCTTTATTAGTTTATAAATAAAAGTTCGACGAGGCTAACATTGAACCAAAAAAGTATCTCACTTATTTTCAATTACTGTGGATGTTTCTGAGATGAGGGAGTAAAACACATCATTCGAAAGCATCAACTGCTTTTCATAATTTCAAGCTTGACGGCTTTTGTGGTTTGCGAATAAAAATAATGGCGAATCATTTCTCATCGGTTTTATTTTAAATATTTCACATTTAGCAAGAGTAGAATGTCTGGTCCGTTTTGGAGTGCTTCTCCCGAATTTTATATTGAAAATATTCAAATATCGTTTGATCGTATCTGATATAAGTACTGTAGGTGTCTTACCTCGGAAATATTTTATGACTCCTACTGATTCCGGCGACTCAACGCAGGTATTTCAATACAATTTTGAAAATACAGTAGTTCTTCCATCGAGATTATTCCTTGTTTGAATTAACAGAGGAGACTTGAAGTGTGGATTTTTGCTTAGATTTTTCCTCGAGAATTTGGAAATCAATTGACTTTGATTTCTATCTTCTTTCTAAATATTAAATTTATTGTAACAAGCTGGGGGTGCCCAGCCACACCTGGGCAATGGTTGGTAAAATTAATAAAATCCTATAACTAAAAAATACCCAAAAACTACCCTACCCTACACTAATACCTACCCTATGCAACAGTGCAACTTTTTAAATTTATTATAATTGGTGGTAAATATTGTCACGTCGTTAAATAATGGGATTATTTTCGTCGTTTTAGGCTGGAATTGGCTGAGCTTATAGTACTGCTAATGTTCTTTTAAATCACAGCTACCGACTTGAAGACGCCAGGAATATAATCTGAAGATAAGAACTAAGTTTCATCTGAATCAGGTTCATGGTTTTCTTGTATCACTGCTGGTTCGTTTTTTTCTCGATTCGAACTCCTGATTCTCGAGTCGTTTGTCGACTGGTGAAACCTGGATTAGATTCCTGTTAAGCAGGATATTATTTCTTTGTCAACAATGACAGTTTCGTTTAGTAGAACTCAAGACTCAGCTCAAGTAGTACAGCAATCTTATCTACCAAAACTTCATTTCCTGCGACGAGGGCTCTAGAACAGAACGGAGAAAACTGATTATATGCGCAACAACTCCGACAAAAAAAATTCTAGCTCAATTTTCCAAAATGCATGTCCAAGATGAACTCTTTGAAAATAAATTAAGCAGTGTGGGACGGGTTCCGAACTCTAAAACGCGCGTTATTGAATTCTATTGTGCGAAAGTGTCAACACATTCAATCGCTTCGATTTTTTGCCTTGTCACTTATTGTCGTATGCGTTTGCGCTTATCAGTACAAGAGCATTCGGTTTTCATGCTCACGTCCCTCATGTAAGTTGTCGATTACACTTCGTGCCTCACTGTTAGAAATGCAATCGCCAGCACAAGAAGCATTCCTGATGTTGACGGGCATCAGTCAAAACTTCGGAAATTTGCTGCGAAATGCGCTTATCCTTTGAAGTTTGCGCATTTTTGAATTAATTTTCCAAGAAAACGCTGGTCTGAGGAGTGATTTGACTTTACAAGACCGGGTTTAATATTCGGAAATACGCGCGAGAGCTTCTGGAGTTTATATTATTACAGCTTATCTACATAATATACAGTGCAATTGACAAAATTATTCAGTGCTCTAGTTACCGTAGTAAAATATACGGTAGTAATTACAATCAGTTGTGAGTGTACTGTTGAATATTTGCATGAGTGCGAAAAATGTTTCTCTCCAAAAATGTACTTGAAGGGGGTTCAACATATTTTTATGACTATTTTGTAGCAAGCAAAATCGTATTTGAGCATTTTAAATATAGTTTTGAGGGAAAGAAAGATTAATGCCGTCAGAATGGTGCTTTTCGCCCAAACCGAGTTTAAAAACAACGCTAGTCATTCGTCCAAAATTTCAACAACAAAATAGCCGAGGCAGTTGGAAGGGAGATGAACAATCAAACTTATGTACATTAGTGTATGTTTCCTATTTAATGTACCTTAGTTTCCGAGTTTATCATATTGGTAATGTTCAAACTTTTGAGTCTTCATTTATGAAGCAAACCTGATGCTACAGTATCAGTATATGAAGTCGATTAGAAGAGCCC